TGGACAGGAGAACATATCGGTGTTTAGGAGCTTGTTCCAAGATTCTGAGAGATCTAGCCGACCCGATTTCCAAAAATGGCAATTCCCGAAAATTTCTTCGTTCGAGCCGATCTCTCAAAATCGGGATACAGAAACTAGCAAAATCGGCTAGCACTTCTCATTCATGCTTTGTCATTATTTTTGAAAAAATTGAAAAAATTACCTTTTTGGCGTTTTGTTATTTTTTAATTTTTAGCGTTTTGCGTTATTTTTAAAATTAAATAATGGAACCCTTTTTATATTAAAGTTAACGTTCGATTGAAGAGTAAATTTAACAGAATTGTTAATTTATTCTGATTAAATCAGAATTTTAAAATCAGAATTATTTTACATATATTTTTAAGAGGATATAGCCATAACAGTCAATATAATTCAATAAATTCAATCAATTCTCGATTTGGATTTTCTTCACAAAATACCCAAAAACCTGCTACTTCAACAGGAAAATCAACAAATAAACCGAAACAAAATTCGACCGCTAAAAAAGGTCAAAAAGAGATAAAGGGCGAAAAAAGTGCTTTTAGTTCCTTTGCTGCAGTTATAGATAAAATAAATGCCGAAAGTGCGAATGGAACAACAACGTAAAAATTTTTAAAAAATATTTGGGGTCTAGATTGGTGTTGTAGGATGATGATGTTTAGATCAGAATGTTTTTTTGAAATGTTTGGTGCTTATAACTACCTTTAATCCCTTATATCCCCCAGACTACCCCTTATATCATCAAAGTGCGGATTGCGAATTGCGGATTACGTCAAGTTGCGTGTTTTTTGACTTGCGGACTTCAAATGCGGACATCTCTGATACTTTATCTGTATATTAAGGTTTTCAAAAATATGACTTCCCTGTACAAGAAGACTTTTCTGAAACCGAAGAACCTCTCCCCCTCCCAACAAATTGTCTTTAGTCGAGACTCAGAACCAAAATCTTTGACATCTCTAACATATTTTTTGAAGATATTATATGAGAGTTAAACTCAATAAGATGTCTTTTGATTTACATATATCTTACCAAAAAATTTTTAAGAATTTTCCAACCAAAAATTATTTTCCTTTAAATTTTTAGCGTCTCCGATCCACCCCCTTCCAAAGAAAAGAAACAACGCGTGAGGAAGCGAAAAGCTCCAGCTCCCAAAATACCTCAACCAGTTAGTGGCCTTGATTTAGTTCAAAATTTTGCCAGCATTAATCAAAAACAGGAACAGGGAAATAATAATATTGTTAACACTGTACCAGCAACAACAACAAATACTAATTTTATTATTACTCCCACTACTAACAATTCTCTACACAATTTTTTCCAGTTGAATCAGGGACAGACTATGGTGCAAAATCAGCAGGTAATTAATTTTTTAAATTCAAAATCTAGAAGGCTTATGGCTTCTAAGCCTTAAGCGGTTTCTCTAGTGTAGCCCAATCTAAATAGCTAAATTTTTAAGGTCTGGACCAATTAAGTTTCCGGCCATCTCGCGTCTTCGGGATATCTCACCGAGTTTGTGTCTGCTTTTTGTTACACCCTCATCGACATTCACAAATCGCTTTTTAAGTAGAGCTCGCGATAAGTGCTTCAGACACAAAACTTTCATCCCCAATTCTCACGCATTCGGAAGTGTCTCGAAAGGAACGGGACGATTCTTAGGCAATATTTTTAATAAATATGTATACCAATATTTTAAAATAAAATTTTTTTTAAAAAGGTGATTCAACAACAACACCAAACACCTCCACAAATAACCCAACAAATGCCCCCTCAAACGATGCCTACAACAATGCCTACCCCCTATAGCTTCCCTCAATTAAATTTTACCAATACAATACCAGTTAATTCATCTTCTAATACAACATATAATTCCCCCATCCCCACCTATAATTCCTCCACATTAAACAATTGTTCCCCTGATATAGCCAAAAGAAGGGCAGATTTTATAACAGAAGCAACTAGTTTATATAACAATAAATATAGAATGCTTTCTCGTTCAATTTATGATTTTTATGTTAAAAGACTGAAAATTACCCAAAATTTGGATCCGCGACTTTTATTGAAAAAGGATTTGGAAATTAGAAGCAAATTTGAGTTGGTAATCTTTACTGAGGGTGATCAACAGGTGGAGAGGTTGGTAGAGCATGGAAAGCTACGCAGAAAGCTTGTTACTATTGAAGAGGTATTTTTAAAGAGATTTGAACATTAGTTTTAGATACTCCCAAAAGTACACCTCTACTTAAGATAAGCGTTATCTGGGATACCTCTCCCTCCCTTTGAGGAACTTCTCATTATAAAGGTGCCCTCTGGGTAAGGTTGGAGGATCCTGGGAATCCTCAGATATCCCGATCCGCTCCCTACTCATGGAATATTCAACAAGGTCCAGTAAACCTAGAAATTGAGTTGTTAATCAGATGACATAACTTTCAAATCATTACGGGCAGTTTAAGCGTTTTAAAATTGGTAATACCGGCCATCGTACTGAGACCTTTAGGGTACTTGTATTTTGGTGGTATATTGCATATCAAGACTATTTTATGCAGAAAAAATGCTAAAATATTTGTTACTTTATTTATCTTAAAGGTATTCGATATCATCCACGATTTCCACAATCGTTTGGGACATGGAAAAAAGATGGCAATTTCGGAAGCTATAAAACAAGATTATGCAAATATTACCTTAAACTGTGTTTTGTTGTATATGGCTAATTGTAAAGAATGTTATATGGCTTCACAATTACAAACCTCAACAAGTTTAATTGAAACTACAAATTCTGACTTTAATAAAGAATTGAATATAGAAGACGATGAAATTATTGAATTGAAGGTAATGTTCGAAATAGAGACTTCGGAATAACCCTTCAGAATAAGATATCCGTTCTTTAATTAGTCAGTTCTCCAATTTATTAAATAACAAAGTCAACTACCATATTTACTCAATTAATTATTATGCTCTTACAGGGCGGGTACGATTTACGGACAGTAATTCGGGGGTATTTGGGTAAAGAAGACGGGAGGTCGAACACTATTATATACACTCTATTAGTGAGCAATAATGGGCTTGGGGAGAGTTCCTTGGAAAGAGTTTCACTGTGATGGAAATTAAGGATGTCACGGGGTACCCGAAACCCGAACATTTTTTCTGACCCGGAACCCGTTCCGAAGGAAATTTTTAAACCTCTACACGACTTTTTTCCGACCCGCGACATCCCTGATAGGAATATAAGTCCTATTTTTCAGTATGATTAGGGACTAAAAGGTCCTAACATTCAGTTGTTAATTTTTTGAATATCCACAGAAAATTAATTTTCTTTTTTTAATTTTAGAAAGTCGGCACAAGCAAATACATTGACTATAGCGAACATTTTCTGACTGGACAAGATGAAATTCGCTGTAAATACTGCAATTTTATTTACTTCACAAATTCAAAAAAACGGCCCAGATATTATCTTCGATCCCATCTGATCAATTTCCACAAAGAAATTTATAATGAAATTTTTGCTAATAGAGAGGAGGAAAGTGTAAATATTAATTTGGAAGAAGATGAAGAAATTGATATTTTGAATGATGATGATGGGCCTAGTCAAAATAAAATTATGAGAATGTCGGGTGATAATAGTACGACTTTTAATTGAAATGATTGAATTTTTATAATTTTTGTAATTGTTTTAAAATTTCTATTTTTGGGGGTTTAAAAAAATTTTTATGAAGAATTTTATTTGCTTGATTGTCTAATTAATTGGCTTGACCCCGAGTCCCTGTGCCACTCTCTCTCCCTCTCTAACTCGCACAGTCTCTCTTTTTTGTCTCTCTCTCATTCAGATCTCTCTTTCTCTCTCTCTCTCATTCAGATCTCTCTCTCTCTCTCTCTCATTCAGATCTCTCTCTCTCTCTTTCTTGGTCTCTCTAAGAGACTCTCTCTCAAAGTCTTTCTCTCAGGGTCTCTCTCATGGTCTCTCCCCCCCCCCGTCATGAGACCTTCAAAGAGGGTACTTTTGTCGCCCCCATCTCTTTGTTGATGTACAAAATGGTCAGGCATCTTTGTGTATAAATATAGGCTAATAGTCTCTCTTTTTTTGTCTCCACATTCAGATCTCTCTCTCTCTTTCTTAGTCTCTCTAAGAGTCTCTCTCTCAAAGTCTTTCTCTCAGGGTCTCTCTCATGGTCTCCCCCCCCCCCCCCGTCATGAGACCTTCAAAAGAGGGTACTTCCTCCCCCCTCCCCCCCCCCTCTCTTTGTTGATGTACAAAATGGTCAGTCATTTCTTTGTATAAATATAGGCTAATATGAGAGAATTCAGAGTTTTGTGGTTGCTAAACAATACGTTTTGATGACAGACTTTTGGCTTTCTGTTGTCAGCTTCAAACCTGAAATTGGTTTTTGGCCAAATTTTAATTTCATTAATTGATTTTTTTATTATTAAAAAAATATTTTTAACCTTAATTTAATCTTGTCACCTATAATTTACACCAAATAATCAATTAAAGATTAAAACACAAAAATAAAAAAAAAATATTTTTCCCTAAAAAAATTTATTTGTTGATTAAATTCTTTACTAAAAAGCTTTCTCTCCTCTTTTTCCTTTTTATTTCAAAAATAAAATTTATTTATTTATTCTATTTTTACCTATGTAGCTGTTTAGTAAAAAAAGTGGAAAGAGAATAAATGGAAAGAGAATTTAATCGGTTATTTATCACTTTTTTGAACAAAAAAAAGATAAAAAATAAAATAAAATTGTTTCCAGTTAGAAATATTTTTCTACATAATTATTTAATGAATTCACAAATTTTGGAGTTTACAATTTCAAAAAAATTTACACATTCGCTGAATGCAAAAAGCAAGAAACAATATCCGCGTCATCCCTGGACCAGTCCCTGTATCAATCTCTCTCTCCCTCTGTCTCTCAAGTCTCACTCTCATTCAGATCCCTCTCAGGACCTCTCTCAATCAGATCTCTCTCAGGGTCTCTCTCTCTCTCATTCAGATCCCTCTCAGGGTCTCTTTCTCAATCTCTCTCTCCCTCTGTCTCTCAGGTCTCTCTCTCATACAGATACCTCTCAGGATCTCTCTCTTATAGCTTCTCTCATTCAGATCCCTCTCAGAGTCTCTCTCGGTGCCTCTCGCAGAAATTGTTTTATCTTGTTCTCACTTGTCCCTTCTCTTCACAAATTCAAAGTATTTGATCAAATATTTATAATTTTATCAATTTTAACCCAGTCTTCACTAAAAATAATTTATTCTTACGTCTCTTAAACGTCTAAAATTTGAAAAAAAGTTAAAAAAATAAGACAATTTTTGTTTTTTTCTAAAAATAGTCGCCACTTTTTAATTAATTTGTTGTTCAAAAAATTTGGGAAAGAATACATATACTTTTTTTATATTTATATTTATTTTACCCAACCTTTGGTCATTAAAACTCATGACAGTTTTGCTTTTTTTATTAAACAATATTTTTTTTCAATATTAAAAAAATTGATTTCCACCCAAAGATTGTCTCTCTCTCCACCCTAAAAATTTATTTTTATTTTTTAATTTATTTTAAAAATATTTTTTAACAAGAATTTTAAAGAAGATGGAATTAAATGGAAATAATAATAATATTTCTGTAGAAGAACAACTAGCTGAAGCTAATCGGAAAATTGATGAATTATTATCAGAACAAAATATGGTTGTTAAGTTAATATAGTATACCGTATCTCCTATAATTGAATGCCCAACCATTCTATTTTTCAATCATCCTTCAAAGGGGTATTGTATTAGAAGGGGAGATTCAATTAGAGAAGATATTGTATCCCATATAAGATACCTTTTTGGATCTGAAAAAATCTTGTCTTATAATGGAGGTGATAGAAAGTATACCTTAGACAGCTTCATCCACTCGAGCAACCAAATTTTAAAAACCGTATCTTAAATTGAGGACGAGACTCTTGATCTCGAGTTATACTCTATGGATGCCGTCCTGGTCTGGGAAAATTTTCAGTTTTGGACATCCCAAGAAAAATGGAACTTAGCTTATTTTATCGCCTATAAGGTTGCCCCCCCCCCCACCTATGTTATCAGTTTGTATCTGGAACAGAATTCTGATTTATAATTTTTGGGAGTAATCAATCGCTTCTAAAATTTAAAAAATTCTTGTCAGAAAACCCTTTCAAGCAATGGCGAAGAAAACTGTCAATTATTACGCGAAGAAATAATTAAAATGGAGAAGAAACTCGCAAATGCAAACGAAGAAAAAGAATATTATAAACGTCATTTTCATGGCGAACAAAATGGTGGAAATATTGATGGATGTAAGTCAAAAAAATTTTTTTTGGAACTTTTATAAAATTTTAAAAGTATACATAAAATAGAGCTTATATCCATTGAGACAAGAATTAGAAGATTGAGATATGAGGACCATTCCTATCCATTTGGAGCCGAAAACATCCGATCCCACATGCCTCATTTATGTCAATCTTAAGGTTGGAGATCGGATTAGATATGAGAGTTATGAGAGTAACCCCATCCTTATCCTGTTGAAGCCATCCCTCTCTAATTGAAGACAAGCCTATCATTTTGGAACTAACCCCATCCCAGCTCTAATAGAACCATGCCCAGTTAATTAAGCCTTTGAGGATGCTCATCTAGCGCTTAATTAAAATATTACCGGTATATAATGATTCAAAAATACAAAATATTCTTTTCATATTAAGCACCGAATAATGGAAGCAATTCATCCAGATTTATTAATTATTATTCGGATGATTTTGGTAAAGAACTTTTATTGGCAAATAAACGAAAATATCAATTGGAAAGTAGAGTTAAACAATTGGAAATTGAATTGAAGGATGCCCAACAGGTAAAAAATAAGTTTAATTAGACCCGAATGAGGCCCGATGAGGCCCGAAAAAAGTCGAAAACCCCAACCCTATATTTGATGGACTCCCTATAAATGCACACAAATTGAAAGGGAGGGGAGGGGGATGAGTTCTTATAAAGAAAGTTCGCCATATAGGGAGAAGAAATCTGTCTTCTTAACCTTCCAAGATTCTCAAAAAATGGAAGAGGGTGGAAGAAATGGACTCTTTTTCAAGGGAGTTCGTTATAAAGAAGTATATTTATTTTCAGAGGTCTGTTCGTCTGTCAGAACTTTTTGAATTGGAAAAAGCACAGAATGCGCGTTTAGATGCAGAATTATTAGAAGCACACAAAGACTGTTTAGAAACTAGACAACAACTAGATGAAGCTGTTTTACAAGGAAATTTATTTCCTTTATTAAATTCGGTTTCCTCGCAAGGAGATGAAATGAGAGAACGTTTGAAAAATATTGAAAGTGATTATGAACGTAAATTACAAGAAATGAGTGAAGCCAAAAGTAAAGTAGAATGGAGGTTGGGGGAAGTGATGCAAATGTATAGTTAGTCTTTTTATTAATTTTCTTTTAAATTCTGTCAGACGGCAGCTAAGCTCCTTCTTGTATTTTTTAAGAAAATTTGGAGGGTTCCTATTAGAATGATATCAACTACCTAGAAGAAATCGTCTTAAAATCGAGTTTAGGGGTTCGTATTGGAATGGCGGTAATCGAGTATTTAGAAAAATTGGGCTCGAGTATGATCATGAGCTCTAAGACACAGAGCCCGTGTAAAAACCGTGAGGCCTGGCTCATTTCAGGTTTGAGACCGAAATTATTAACTCATTCAGTCTCGACCTACTCTAGCTCTATTAACCGGAGGGGTCCCATTTCCCGGGTATTATACATAGCTACTGTTTAATTCTCTCCTACAGAACGGTGTGAATCCTAAAGCTTCCTTTGTATACTTGCTTAAAATAATTTCAAAATTTCTTAGATGACACAAAATGGCGTTTGGGGGAAGTTGAAGCATTACTTGCCCATAGAGATTGGCAATTGGAACAGGAAAAGAAAAATTATCAGAAATTATTAGAAAATAATTCGAATGATAAACCAGCAAATTCTGAAGAAATTCAACGTTTAAATGACCAATTAATTAAAAAAACAGAAGAAAAAAATGCTGCGGATTGGAAAATTGGGGAATTGAAACAATTATATAATGACGCAAAATGGAGGTGGGAAAATTTAAAAATTAGACCTCGCTTATAGCTAATCCCTTGAGTCCATTAGAATTTGTCTCTTATAACGAGGCGCATTTTAATAAAGGCTAGCTCACCCCCTAATTAGCTCACCCATTCAGTGGTTAACTAATAAAAATTGTATATTAAATAGAGGTTTATCTAGTATAGGGTTATTTTAAAGAGAGGTCTAGCTGTTAAAAAAAGATCTAGAAAATAATAATTTTCAGGGTTGGAGAGTTAGAAGCTGAAACAATGCATAGAAGCACATTACTGGATGAGGCGCATCATAAAATTGGTGAACTAGAAAGGAGGTGAATTGATAAAATATTCAAAATTAAATAAAAAATTCAATAGGCTAGAAGGAAATCTTCCTTTAATTAATGAATGTGAATATTCTAAACAATTAAGTGAAATGGAAAAGAAATATCACGATACTAAATGGAGGTATAATAATAAACACTTAATGTAAAATATTAATCAGAATTTACAAAATTCCGGAAAGTTTTAAATATTCCGGAAATTCACATTTCTGAGATGGTAACCAAGAATTTCAGCTTTCCGGAAACAGTACGGAAGTAAATTAAAATTTACAACCTTCCGGAAATTATAAATCCGGAAACATTTATTAATAAATCAGAATTTTCGACTTTCCGGAAAGTTTTCAAATTCGAGAGGAATTCATTATTAAAATTATATACTAATTCTTTTAACTCATTTTTAAAATACTTTCCAAAATTAAATATTATTTTTAGATTAGGTGAAGTTGAAGCAGAATTAAATAATTTAAAAAATAGAGAACAACAATTAAATAATGAATTATCTAAAAATATCGAACTAAAATCTAAAGTAGAATGGCGGCTAGGGGAGGTAATGCAATTCTTGAATGATGCAAAATGGAGGTAATTAAATAAATAAATTTAATTAATTTTTTAATTATTTAAAATATTTAAGAATTGGCGAATTAGAAGCAAGCATAGAACATCGCAACCAACAATTACAAGAGTAAATATATTCTGATTATTATTAGTACACTTTTCCGGAATAAAATTCTGAGTAAAATTCTGTAACATGATTCTGTTTTTAAATAAATCAGAATTACAACCTTTCCGGAATTTCTGATTTTTGAAATAACTTTCCGGAAAACAGCAACTATTATTTTTAAATATTAAATCAGAATTCATCACTTTTCCGGAAATACTACGAAAAAATTTCCGGAAAAATTATTCTGATTTTATTTAAACAGAATTCACAGCTTTCGGAATTTTCCCAGAAAACATTAAATCAGAAATTGAACTTTCCGGAAGCAGTTGTGAACAATTTCCGGAAACTATTCTGTTTTAAAATTAATCAGAATTTTATTTCAATTTCCGGAAAACAACATTTATTATTTTTTAAATATAAATCAGAACTCATCACTTTTCCGGAAACGTTACAGAAAAACTTTCCGGAAATATTATTCTGATTTTTTCAGAATTATATAATTAATTTAAGCATTAATGAAACACAAAATGAGTTAAACTCTTTTAAAACTCTTGGAGGTATTAATGGAGCTTTAATTATTAAAAGACAGCCACGCAACGATAGACATAAATGGACACTTTTGACTATGTAAAAGAAGATTTTTTAATTAAAAAAATTTTTTATTTTAAGTGAAAATTCTTTAAAAATGCCTCTACAAAAAATTCTTTTGGAGACAAATTCTAATGGAGATGGAGATATTTTTCTAATTGTTATTTATTTTTTTAAATTTAATTATTGCGGTAATTTCGGACAGACAATTGTTCACTTTGACCTAGCTTTGTCTAAGTTCTCGTTTAAGGAAAGAACCTTTAAGTTATTCTAATATCCACCATTTGCCATCGTCCTTTTATCATGATGTATCTATAACTAAAAAGTTATTATGGCAGATGGCAAGCCAATTTTGCCAATTGTTAGGGAACAGCTTTTTTCGAAACTACTATAGCTTGTTGGTGCCAGGATTGTGCACAATTGCCCTCCAGGCCTCCTCCCCCTCCTCTTCACTCTTTCTCTTCATAATTCAAATTTTGATTTTTGACTGAATTTTAATCCAATCCTATCCTTTATTATCGCAATAGACATTTCCTTCATTTAATTTACAAAAAAAATTTTTAAGGGTAGTTTTCTAAATTGGGAATGTGCTTTAATTTGTGATTCAATAAATGGAAAGCCAAACAAAAAAGGTGTTTTGTTAGAATTACCCAAAGGGAGGCACGAATTTTGTTTTATTTGTGAAGGTAAATGGTATACAGAAAGTTTATATGAGGATTGTTGGAATGAATTTGGAACTAAAAATAATTGGATTATTATTAATTAAATATATAATTTATTTGAATAAAAATTTGTTTTTTTTAATTTTAAATAAAAAAATTATTTAAATGTTGGGTGTTTATAACCAAAATAAAATTCAGGCCTGTGTTAATAAAAATAGTCAAAACCTCAGTAATAGTCTCACCGCACTTGTAGGTGATAACATTACCGTCCTTTGCTTCATCTTTGCTAATCTGACACTCTTTTATATCTAAGCTCTTACTTTAACGGTTCAATCTTTATTATAATACATACAATCCTTATTATTAAAATATTATTTGGATTTTTTTTATTTAAGGGCCTAGTTTTTCGGATATCGACAAAAATCCCAGACATTTTGGAGAAAATCGGAGGAAAAAAATTTCCAAAAAATTTTCTGGCAACCCGACCTAGGTCTATCAAACTAAAATTTCGACCTTGATATTTTGAAAAAATCGAAGTTTCTTCCCTGTCCATTGAAAATATTAATGGTTCTATGTCCATTAAAAATAAAAAACCATGATCACGAAAAATTCAAAGTCTACTATTTTTTATTTAATATTTAAATAAAAATTAGTTAAATAATTTTTTTACAAATCAAAAACCAAATAATTAATATTTTTTAATTTTATTGTGTTAATAGAATAACCCTTCGCGTAAATGATGAATTGCCACAATTTTGTTTTATCAAGGACAAACTTTTGGGTAATCGAATAAATTAATATTATTACCAGTTTTGAATACTCTTTTCTCTCTCTTTTCTAAAACTTTTACTGATTTTTAATTAAATATTTTATTTTTAATTTAATAATATTTTAAATGTTCCACTTTATTAAAATATTTTTCCCTCCAAAAATATTTTTAAAAAATTTTTTACAGCATTTTCCCTGTTGATAAATGTTTAATCAACTCGTGGTCAAAGCTGTTTCTAACCAAAAAATTTTTGAAAATCGGGAATCTAAGTTTCAAAGCGACTCTGCTTGTGGTCTAATACATATATCACGACTTTCCGCCTTTCAAAAAAAAATTAGGAAGCCAAGGAACCAGCTCTGCATTTGATTATCAATCTGATCGTTAATCGAGGCCTTATCAAGCCTGTCCGCATTTCAACAGAAAAATTTTTAACGCCGCAAGACGCATAGAAAAACTGAAATTTACTCAATACATTTTTAATTAGGATACCGTATTTTCTTGACCAACTGGGTACTGGCAATTATTCGAGTTTTGAATATGTGGTAGGGCGTTTGAGAAGAGGAGGGCAATAATTGTTTATTAATCGTGTTCATTAATCGAGGGAGGCTGATTAATATTGCACATTTTTAATTAACTAACCACGAGTTACCTATAAAGGCAGCATTTCTACATACATACAGCCCTCCTCAGATTCCCTCAATTAATTCAAGTTAAAAAATTTCAAACCCAACTACTTATGTCTTAATTAAATTTTTAAAAGAAAATTAGTGCAAATACCTTTTCTTTTAAAGAAATATTTAATTAAATAAAAACAAATCATTCAGCAAGTTTTTAAAAAAAAATTCATTACTTCCGTTGTTAAAATGGGAAAAAAATATATTTTATTTAGTAATGTATCCTCTCCTTTAAATTCCTTTTACACACACAGGGCCGCGCAATTTTTTTATAAAATGCAACGAGTTTTTTTCTTTTTTTTCTAATTATTTTAAAAAATATTGGGTTCGGATATTTCTTAATTAATTTTAAAAAAATCTTCATTAATACTATGTTACAAACTCTAAATTTTTCCGAATATACCAAACTTTAATTTTATTTACCCCCCAATTTTATAAATATTTTAGTTATTTATGACTTTTTTAATTGCTTGGCCATTATGTCCTTAAGCTAGGGGTATTGGATATTAGAGATCGAGATTTTTGAAAATCCTGTGCTTGGGTTCCTGGGTTCTGGTTTTCTTTATTGACCTAGACCGGATCCTGGGCCTGTAGTCCAGGAAAACCCCAGGAAGGTCAAAAAATGCCTGGGCCCCTGGACTCTGGGTACATAAAAACCCCAGGCCGTGGTCCAGGACCCAGCTCGATTTCTATTTGATACCATCTTTAGTATACCCCTAAGCTAAACGATATACACCTAAGCACTACTCCAAATTTTGGTGGCACTTCTAGCTTAGTAGCTATGATTTTTTCAGCTGAGGTGGTACTTAAAATTAGAACCCGACTCGATAACCGACCCCTTTCCCCGGCCGGTCTCTATTTAAAATAGAACTTAACCTATAATTATTTTTATTTCTCTAAAAATTTTTTTTATAAATTTTATTTTGCCAAAAAATTCCTTCCCCTCAATTTCAATGCTTTGCCGCATTCCAAATATTTATATAAAATATTTATTAAAAACCAGTTTTTTTCAATATTTTTTTATTATTGCAATTTATATTTTTAGTTTAATTTTTTCTCACTTTTATTTACTTTCCCATTTTTTAAAAATAATAAAAATATTATTTTGATTTGTTTATCATAAAAGTAGAAAGAAATTGCCTAATTAATAATAAAAAATAATAATTTTATTTTTGGGGGTGGTTTGGGTGTTGCGCTTTCATCAATCAAGCACCTCACCTCTTTTAATTATTTTTCCTTATTTTTGCTTATTTTTGCTTATTTTTTAATAAAAATTTTTTTAGATTTCATAGACCATTTTTAAGCAGACCTCATCCAGGGAAAATGATAATTTAATAACTTAATTTTTTCAATATTTTATGTAGATTTAAGTAGAGTTGTACCACAAACTGCGACACCGTTCCCGAACGATTTTTTCACACCTCTTCCCGATCCGAATCCCGACCATATTTCTCCCCCGACCCGAACCCAGCCCCGAAACAATTCGAAAACCCCATACTCCGTGCGTTTGGGGTACAACACTATATTCAAGTTAGGACTAGTTTCTGAGAAAAATTTTCTTTTTCCAATACTCGGTTCAATTCATGCTTCGAACAAAAATCTGGGATCGTCAGGATTATTTTACAACAAAAAAATCTTAAAAAATTTTAATATCCGGCATTTTAAATATTCTTTTCCCTTTAATTTCATGAATTTCTTTTTCCGTTTTGGTTACTTGAAAGTTAAAAAAAAATTATTTCTTAGGAATTTAAAAAATTTTTCTTTTAAGGAATCTTTCGTCAAATAATAAATATCATCTAATTTATTCCAATTTTCCATCAAAAAATTTTATTTGGCAAAAAACAAATAAAAATAATAAACTAGAAATAAATAAAATTAACCTAATTTTTTCTTAAATTTTTTCATGGAAATTGATCTTTTCTTTTATTGTTTTCATTTTTCTCCTTCTACACTACCACAATTTTCTTATAAATTCTTTATTATTTTTTTCCCGAAACAAAAACATCATTTCCGCCCTATTCTCGCCGAAGTATTCACAGGAGATTCCTTTAAAAATAAAATTAATGTTCTGATATTTATTTATTTCTTCCGAAAATAAATTCTGAACTCTAAATAACTACCTAAATAAACTTTAAATCAGAATTATATTTAACTTTCAGGAAAAAATAACAGCATTTCCGGAAAATACACTTCTCTAAATTACCAGAATTATTTATTCATATTAATTAAAAAGATACCGGAAAATACACTTCCGTAAATTACCAGAATTATTAATTCTGATTAATTATAAAGATAAAGTACACAATCCTTCCGGAAAAATATAACAGCTTTCTGAAAACACCAGAATTATTTATAAACATTCCGGAAAAAGTTTATTCATACCAGAATTTGTATTTTCCCTGTATATTGTATTTTTCTGGAAATTATCAGAATTATGTATTAATTCTGGTTTTATTTATTTTTATCAGAATTTGTATTTTCTTTTAATATATCGGAAAATACATTTCCGGAAATCACCAGAATTATTAATTCTGATTTATTAAGAAAAATACACAATATTTCCGGAAAAATTAACAACTTTCCGGAACACCAGAATTATTTATAAACATTCCGGAAAAAGTTTATTCATACCAGAATTTGTGTTTTTCGAATATTTTATTTTTTTGAATATTGTATTTTTCCGGAAATTACCAGAATTATTAATTCTGATTTATTAAGAAAAATACACAATATTTCCGGAAAAATTAACAACTTTCCGGAACACCAGAATTATTTATAAACATTCCGGAAAAAGTTTATTCATACCAGAATTTGTGTTTTTCGAATATTTTATTTTTTTGAATATTGTATTTTTCCGGAAATTACCAGAATTATTAATTCTGATTTATTAAGAAAAATACACAATATTTCCGGAAAAATTAACAACTTTCCGGAACACCAGAATTATTTATAAACATTCCGGAAAAAGTTTATTCATACCAGAATTTGTGTTTTTCGAATATTTTATTTTTTTGAATATTGTATTTTTCCGGAAATTACCAGAATTATTAATTCTGATTTATTAAGAAAAATACACACTCTTTCCGGAAAAATAACAACTTTTCCGGAAAAAATCAGAATTATTTATAATCCTTCCTGAATAAGTTTATTCATACCAGAATTTGTATTTTCTCTGAATATACACGAAAATACATTTCCGGAAATCACCAGAATTATTAATTCTGATTTATTAAAAAAGTATTTTCGCCTTTTTTATTATTTTCTTCTCTCTTTTATTTATACATAGAGAGTTGATTAAGTGTTTGTTTAGATTTTTATTTTTTGTTTGTCTGCCTATCAAACCAATAAATCATTTCAATTCATTGCGCGTATTTTAATCAGTTTTCATTTTCTTTTTTTCTCTCTCTATTATTTTTATTTCCCACTTGCTAATAATAAACAATTGCCAAAAAGTACTAGAACTGAACTTGTTAAAACCTCGAAAAGATAAAAAAATATTTTTTTTGATGATTTAAATTAAATGAGAAAATTAAAAAAAAAAGATGTTAAATTTTAAAAAAAATTTAAAATTTTGTCACGCGCAATTGTTTTCTTTTTAGTCTTTTCAACTCTTTTTTAAATTAACAAAATTTTATGAGGGAAAGACATTGAATGATCGAAAAAACAAATTATGATGACAAAATTTTAATTTATAAAAAAAAGTTAAAAATTAAATTTAATGTATTTTGTCTGTTATTTTTTAAAGTTTTTTCGTTTAATTGTTTGAAGTTTGGCTAAGAAAATTATAATAGAAAAATAGCAACTTTCCAGAAGCCCCAGAATTATCTGAAACTTTTCCGGAAGAATCAGAATTATTTAAAAACTAGAATTATGTAAACCAGAAAGACCAGAATTTTGTAAACTTTCTACTTTCCCGGAAAACCAGAATTTATTTAAAACTTTCTGAAAACTAAAGTCTATTTTAAAAAAGAATTTATATATTCCTCCGTAAAATACATTTCCGGAAATTATTTTTTTGATTTTTTAAAAATTAAAATATTTGTAGAATTAATATTAATAAAATGATTGAAGAAAAATTACAAAATGGAGAGATTATTTCAGATAATTCAACACCGACAATAAATTATCAACAGCAACAACCAGGCACTTCCTCCAATTCATTTCAAGATGGAAATATAGAGCATTCAAATCAACTTAAAGTAAAAAAACTTTGTTCAAATCAAAACCTGAGACCTGACCCGTATAGAATTTATTTAGGTTAAATGCCGGGTTAAATATTATGAAAAAATGACACGTCGATTAAGAGGAAGGTCCCTCTCTTATTCCGAAGTTATTCTAAAACATTGTTATCAGGAGCTCTGCTAACCACAGTTTGGGATTGTTTGTTAACTGAGCTACTCTGATACTTATCTTGCTTTTTCTTTTTTTTCTAATCCAATTTTAAAAAGTTATTTTCTAACAGACTACACCTTCGTTTAAATCAGTTTATGATGAGGATATTGATGATATAGAAGTCCCTTTACGTTGTGGTGTAGGTAGTTGCACCCCTGACTGGCTTCAAAAATTACATACGGCTAAATGGCTATTATTATTTCTTGGAATGTTTGTTTAAAAATTCGAAAAAAAATAAAAATTAATTAATTAAAGATGTGCATTTAACCAGTCCTTTGTTATTAATGCTATTTTCCCTGTGGATCTTTCTACTTTAGAAAAACGTTTTCATATGACTAGGTTATTAATAATTAAATTATAAATTTGCGGACGGCATTTGCGGACAAAACTGGGAAATGTTGGAATTGGTGCATATGTCAACTTATTTTTTGATGGATACCCCTAATCGTACAGAGAATCGAAGAGGACAAGATAACGTTCAAATAGGTCGTATATCGAGATTTGGATTTGAGGGATTTGTCGAGATCTTGAATCTCGACCTGTCTCCAAGGTTGGTCTCTAATGAAAATACCGTTACTTGGTGTCCGTAATGTCGTGCGAGAGCGTATTTTTAAAAATTCTTTCAGTACTCAAACTGGTATAATATCAAGTTGGTATGATTTGGCCGTCCTTCTTGTTGTATTTCCTGTTTGCCATTGGGGAAATATTGGTAAAATAATTTTTAAATTTGATAAAAATTTTAAAAAATTATTTTTAGGCCATAAAGGCCGTTGGATTGGAATAGGCTCTTTAATTATGGGTTTTGGCTCTTTTATTTCTGCAATGCCTCATTTTATTTCCTCTCCATGGCCTATTGATAATTTAAATTCTAGTGATTATGGACAGTGTACTAACAGGTGAATTCTAGCTAGATCTTTACCCCTCCCCCCCCCCCCCCCCCAATGCTTATTCTCTCAATTACAAAATGCGACATTTGAGGATTACGATAGGTCCAAGGAAATGATCATTCCCTTGAGTGGGATTAAATATAATGACTAGAGACCGGACCGAGAAGATCTCGATCGAAAATCTTGGTTATCGAGATTGAGAATCTTTCGAGATCTCGATCGTCGTACGGCACTACCAGTTGGTCTCTATTAATGAGTTTGCCTTGAAGAAAATTTTTGGAACTTTTTTTTTCAATTTTTTTAACAAATAAAAATAAATATAGGGTTGAACTAAACGAACACTGTGAAAGCAGAAGAAGAGGATTATTAGATGCCTGGTATATGAACCCTTATTTCCTCATATTTTTGCTTGGCCAAACATTCCACGGATTTGGAGCTACACCCCTTTTCTCCCTTGGAACGGCTTATCTAGACGAAAATGTTTCACAAAAATCATCGCCTGTTTATCTGGGTAATCAAAAATTAATTTTAAATTAAAATTTTCTCTTAGCCATTCACTCAATGTTAACTAGCATTGGCCCAATTTTTGGTTTATTTATTGGTGGCAGACTTTTACAAGTTTATGAAGACTTTGATAGAGTAGATTTAAGCACGTTAGATTTTTTTGGAAATTTTCTAAAAAAATTCTTCCACCCATTTTCTAGTGTGCCAATGAAAAACTCTCGAGATCCCCGCTGGGTAGGTGCTTGGTGGGTAGGCTTTCTTTGTTGTGCTATTGCTTCAGGATTTATTTCAATACCTATAATGGTTAGAAACTTTGTTGATTTATCTATTGAAACCTTTTCTAAATTTCAGTTATTTGCCCGGGAATTGCCTGAGGCAAAGAAACACAGATTAAAGGATGTTAATCAGGTAAAGGGCTTAATCTTAGGAGATCATAGTGAAACTAAAACAAAGCTAAATGCAATGTCCTATAGATAGACACTGTCTTTTAGTTTTGAGTTCTAAGGTTCCTGACCTTCTATGAGTACGCCTAGAATGAAGTTTTGAGGTGGAGGATAGCCTTCCCGACCTTCGAGAATTCTAGACCCAAAAATCTATGTGGGTCTGAAAAATTTGTGTGAATCGTGAAGTGGGTAGGCATTATTCCTTGATGATAGATACTATTTTACTTTAATTTTTATACTTCTAATAGTACTTCTGCAGGTTCATGCAAACTCTCAAATGGACGCAAATGATCACCTTTTAAAAGAAAAAAAGAATTTTTCTCAACTTATGAAAGGATGTTTGGTAAATTTGAGAAAATTTTCTAGCATTAAAAATATTCTTCTCTTAAAAAGAATATCCTTCGGAACCCAACATTTGTCGCTGTAATGGCAATTGGCAACTTTGAAGCAATCATTTTAAATGGGTTTTCTGCCTTTATGCCTAAAATATTAGAAACTATACTTTCAACAACACCGACTATTGGGTCTTATCTTTCGTGTAAAACGTCTTGAAAATTATTTTAAAAAATTTTTCCTTAAGCTGTTGTTATATTTGCTGCAGCAGGTGGTGTAATGATTGGGGGAATGGTTGTTAGGCAAATGAATTTACAAGTAATAAAAAAATTTTTTTGGGTGTTAAAATTTATTTTAAAAATTTTTAAAAAATATATGGAAATTTTAAAAATAAAAAAATATTTTTTACATAAAAATACCCATTTGATCAACACCATATATTAGGTCAAATAATTAACTTTCAATAAGATCATCATTAAATTCCAATGATGATCTCTAGTAGTGATGCTCGGGTATCCCGCTCCCGACTCGGAAAAATTTCACGAGTTTTTGGCCTCCCGATCCCGACTTACGATGGCATTTCCCGACCCGACTCCTATTTCCCGATTCACGGGTTTTTTTACGAACATCACTAACCTCTAGATTTGTACTTGATTTTTATTATGAAACCTTAAATTATCTAAAATAATTTTTTAATAAAAAGGTTGGTGGAATGTTGAAAATGATTTTAATTTGCCATCTTGTAGCCCTAGTTTTAATCACTTGCCTTTTGGTTCAATGCCCTTCGAGAGAATTTGTTGGGATTACACTTGGCTATGATAGACAGTAATCGAGAATTTTTTTAAAGTTCAAAATTTTTTTTTTGAGGAAACCAAAGCCAGGAGTTACTCCTTCCTTAATTGCTCAGTGTAATTCTCAATGTCATTGCACTAATAAATGGAACCCTGTTTGCGACAAAAGTACAGGTACTAAATTGTAGGGATTAGATGGGAATTTGGAACCCAATCCTTCCTTTCCGGGTTTCTTGTCCAATTTTTTTAAGAGAGGATGAAATCGAGAGCTTGAAACTTGTTCTTCTCATCTTCAGTCCCTTCCGGTTGCTCCTAAAAAAGTTAAAAAAATTTTCAGGCCTAACATACTTTTCTGCATGTTATGCTGGTTGTGAATATAAAGAAGAGATTCATTCTTTGGTGAATTTTTTATTTATTCTTAACTAAAAAACTCATTTGGTCTGGAAAGTTATATCTTACCGTTAGGTTTAGCTTAAAGTGAAGTGTATTTTTTAGCCGTTCTCCTCTCTCCCTCCCTCCTTCCCTCTCTGTCTCCTCCTTCTCTCCCTCCACCTCTCCCTCCCTCCTTCCCTCTCTGTCTCCTCCTTCTCTCCCTCCACCTCTCCCTTCCCTCTCTCCCTCTCTCTTCCTCCTCCTTCTCTCCCTCCACCTCTCCCTCCCTCCCTCCTTCCCTCTCTTCCTCCTCCTTCTCTCCCTTCACCTCTCTCTCTCCTCCATCAAATAGCTAACCAGATTTTTTCCAGATGTATCTTCCTCACTTCAAACTCTCCTCCCTCCCCCCTCCCCCTAATGCTAACCAAATTTTTTTCCAAAAATATATTTTAAATTGTTTTTATTAATGGGTACATCTTATAGTGAAATCCGATTCTATACTCTTTTAAATTTAAAAATTAAATTTTAAAAATAGGGAACAGTCTGGAGGAATTGCCATTGTATTGCTGATATTAACAGACCTCTAATAACCACAACAACCCCAAGAAATATTACTCCCAGCTTTAATCTAACTGAAAATCCATTTTTGGATTCAAGTCCTTCAATGGCTAGCGGGTTTTGTACCAAAGATTGTGGATGGTCTTTATATTTATTTTTGGTACTCTTATTCTTTTCTGTTGTGGCTAGTTTTGCGGCTGGTATTCCTAATCAACAGGTAAAATAATTTAAAAATTTATTTTTCTGCCAATTTAAATAAAGAGACAATTCGTCCCCCGAAAAATGACATTTTATCCCAATTTTTCCCCAACTCCAAAATTCAAAATTTTTTTATATTTTCAACTAGAAACCGAACTGAGAGTTCGTATGTCGATCGGACTCTTGTTCGAAGTCCTGTCTCGGCCCGGTCTCTATTTAAAAAGGATAATCTTGATCTTTAAAGTCCATGACAATAATAACCCAATAATTCTTTGCTTATTTAGATCATGCTTCGAGTTATCCCCTTCCATCAAAGAACTCTAGGTATTGCTGTTAATTGGACATTCCACAGACTTTTGGGTTTTATACCTGGTGGTATACTTTTTGGTTTTATGATAGACACTACCTGTCAGAAATGGCAACACTCAGATTGTGGAACAAGGCAGTCTTGTTTGGTAAATAAATAAATTATTTTTATTATGCGATCAGGAGGTTGGGGTTCCGGATATCCAGAAGTGAGAAAAGGCTGGCTATCCCAAATTTCTGGTCGAATATCGGTTCCGGATCTTGATATTTTAAAATTACTAAAGATCCGCCAACCTTTAATTAGATCCCTTTATTAAGGGAGGTTAAACAGACCTTTTTTTATTTTTTAAATTTATTTGGTATTTAGGTACATGATCAATACAGACTAGCATGGACTATAATGGCTGTAGCTGTTGTTTGCAAATTAATGGCTGTATTAGCAACGATTATTGGTTATGTTACTTACAGGCCAAATGACCTCGACAGGCAAAATATTTATCAATTTTTATATTTTAAATTAAAATTCTGATTTTTTAGTGCAATGTCTGTACAAACAACAGATTCTAGAGGTCCTCTCTCTTTGGTAAATTAATTCTGATTTTTAAATTTTTTTAAATTATTAATTTAGGTAGTTAACGACGACAGGCCAAAACAGACATCATTACACACAACAGCCCTTTCTACAGATTCCACAGCCTCAGCACTTCACAAAGAATAAAAAATTAATTAAGAATTATCAAATTGTTTATTTAAATATATTTTTTGTATTTTTTGAAAAATTTTAATAATTAAATTTTTATTTGAAATTAAAAATACTATACATAGGTATTTAGGTTTATTTCATATGTAGGAATATAAAATTCTGGTTTTAATTTTAAAAATTCTGGTTATATTTAAATAAACTTATTCAATCAAGTTTTAATAATCTTCTGATTTTGTATACACAAAGAAAATTCTGGTTTTATTATTTATTTAATTTGAAAATCAGAATTATGTTTCTTCTGATTTTTAATTAATAAATTCTGATTTTATTTTTTATTAAAATATAAATTCTGATTCAAGTTTATTTAAAAAATTCTGATTCAATTTTATTTAATATACCTACATAAATTCTGATTCAAGTTTATTTTAAATAAATTCTGATTCAAGTTTATTTAATATACATAAATTCTGATTCAAGTTTATTTTAAATAAATTCTGATTCAATTTTATTTAAAATAAATTCTGCTTCAAATAAATTATAAAATAAGTTTATTTAAAAAATAAGTTTATTTATTTAATACTATTCAAAAGCATTAATTTAAAAAGTTGTATTTTTCCCTATTAATAAAAATCATAATTTCTCCGATTTTCTTTTAAATTTCTTAAAAACACGGCTCGCATTGTTCTTCACATTTTTGACATTTAGGTCCACACTCACGACATTGTTCCCCAAATTGATAGCATTTTTTGCATTCCTCTGTTTCATAACAGTTCTTTTGGACACATTTTGTGCATGTTTGTTTGCTACAGACAATACCGGAATAAGCCTTTAAAAAATAATTTTTTCTCATTTTATTAATTTTTTACTTCAACACAATCCTCACAATCGTCTTCACATTCTTTGCATTCTTTAGAAGTTGCGCATTGTACACAGCTAGTCCCTCCATACTTTAAAATTTATTTTTTAAAAATATTTTTTCTTCAAAAAGTTGCCTTAGCACAACGTGAGCATTGTTCTTGTTCATTACATTTTTGGCCTGCACATTTTGTGCATTTTGAGTTTGGTGCCTGGCAACTTGTTGGACAAGTCATACACTCAACATTGCAATAATCACAGTCTTGTGCACATCTGTCACACTCTTTTCCCTTAAATAAACTTGTTTAAATAATTAAAATTTAATTAAATCTACCGTGGAAGCACAACTTTGACAGGCTGCAATAGTTTTGCACTTTTGCTGCTTTTCTATGCAGTCTATGCAAGTTTGTGTATTACAGGGTTGTCCGCCTGTTGTTTTTGTATTTGTTTTGGTAGTTCCAACCTTTTTGTCAGTGGCTGTATTTTCTGTATCTGAAATTAATTCTGATTTTAATTTGTTTTTATAGTTTTTTTATTCCAAGTTTATTTATTTCAAGTTTATTTTAATTCTGATTTTATTTCAAGTTTAATTTCTGATTTTTTAATTCTGATTTAATTTCAAGTTTAATTTCTGATTTAATTTCAAGTTTAATTTCTGATTTTATTTGAAGTTTAATTTCTGATTTTATTTCAAGTTTAATTTCTGATTTAATTTCAAGTTTAATTTCTAATTTTATTTCAAGTTTAATTTCTGATTTTATTTCAAATTTAATTTCTGATTCTATTTCAAGTTTAATTCTGATTTTATTTCAAGTTTATTTCTGATTTCAAGTTTAATTTCTGATTTTATTTCAAGTTTAATTTCTGATTTTATTTCAAGTTTAATTTCTGATTTTTTCTTTATTTTCTACTACATTTACATTATCTCTCTCAACCTACCATGCATATCCTTCCCAACATGTTGTGTATCCTTGCTAATAGTAATATCCTTTCTCGTATCCTTTCCAACTTGTTTCTCATCATCTCTATCAGTCGTATCAACACCCGGTTGTGCGCCAAAAACAACAAACAACAGTATATGAAATATTAGAAACCCAATAAAGAGAGAAGAAAATCTTTGGGACATCATTATTTATTTTTTTATTTTAGCGTAAAATAAAATTTTATTTTAATAAAAAATTAAAAAAATATTTTTTAAATTAAAGTGAAAAATCTTTCAGCCTTGAATTGCTTTTAAATGGCTATTTTTTAAACTTTTTTTAAATTATTCCTTAATTTTGAAGGACATTTTTCTTCTACAAAATACCTCACAAGATTAAACATTATATTTTAAATTTTTTTCCTTTATTTTTGTTTTCACTTTTTAAATTATTCATTTAATTAATTTGACATTTTTTGAAAAAATTTTGAAAAAAAATTTTTTTGAAGGCCGTTCCTTTTCTTTCATCATCTGTATTTTTGCAGTAACGTTAACGTTGAGAAGATATCAGACCAAAGTTTATATTTTAAATAAATAAAATTAAAAAAAGAGATAAAATCAAGAAGATATCAAAATAGTGAAAAAATATTTATGTAGATATTTAAAAAATTAAAAAAAAATAAAAACAAATTAAACAATATCATGACCCTTTTTGAGGTTCAGTTGAACAAAATACCTCAATTTTCCATCTTGAGCAGTCATCAAAAATCGTTCAGGATTGGATTTCGAGATACAAACTAAAAAATACAAAAGTCTAAAATTTTTATTTGTTTTTATCTCCAATGAAAGTCATTTTTGTTTCATTTCCTGCCAGCTCTTAATTAATCAAATTTAATATTTAATTAAAAATAATTTTTTTCTGGATTCCTTTATAATGGAAAATAATTTTTTATTCTCGCGCACCATAAATTCTATCGATTGCCCTAATTTTATATTATTTTTTCTTCGCCACAGGAGAATTTTATATTTTTAAATCACCCTTCTTTTAAGCGATTTTCTAATTTTTATTTTAAAATTAAAAAAAATATTTTCTGAAAAAATTAAAAATGAGAGTTTGTGTGATAGGTGCTGGAGTTAGTGGATTGCCTTCAATTAAAGTTTAAAAAAATAATTAATTAATTAATTTAAAAATTAAATAAAAGGCTTGTCTTGAACAAAACCTAGAGGTTGATTGTTATGAAAAAACTTCGAGTATTGGGGGACTTTGGAATTATAGACCAAATGAGGATAATGTTGGGGCTAATGTTATGGCATCAACTGTTGTAAGATTTAATTTTTATAGTCAACACTCTCTATATTCCGAAGTTGAGGAAGAGTTTGTAGTAGGGTGTTGGTATATAGAGATTAACAACATACTGGATTATCTTTCTGAAAGATACCCATAGAGTATTTTTTTACATGGATATTGAAATCGGGCCTGTGGACCTCCTAAAGTAGGAAAGCCTGATCCGAAATATTTTAAAACATAACCGAGATTTTCGAACGATATCTTACCATTCAGGTTCTCATTCGATCCCTAGAGATTAACGACATACTGGATAATCCTTTTGAAAGATAACCCTCCGATAAAGTATTTTTTCACATGAATATTGAATTTATTGAGCCTGTGGACCTCCTAAGTAGATAAAGCCTGATCCGAAATAATTTTTAATAAAATATCATATCTCGATAACCGAGATTTTTGAACAATATCTTGCTATTCAAGTTACCATCCAATCCCCTTTACACCAATTTAATCACCAAATATTTTTTTAATTTTAAAGGTGAACACCTCTAAGGAATTGATGGCTTACTCAGATTTTGTAATTTTAAAATTTATTACATTAAACCTAATTAAATAGCCACCTCCTCCCGAATGGCCCAATTTCATGCATCATAGTTATGTACAAAAATATTTAGAAATGTATGCTAAACATTTTGATTTGATTAAATATATTCATTTTAATACTGAAGTGATCGAGGTTTCAAAAAAATTTCATCAAAATTTTTTTTAACAAAAAAAAATTTTTTAAGGTCCGTAGGGTTGAAGGGGATGATCAAACCAGCTTAACAAAATGGAGTGTTTCCCTCTCCAATGGAATTACAAAAATATATTCTGCTGTGCTAATATGTACCGGCCATCATTGTGAACCGCGTATTCCTACCGAAATTAATGGTTTTTTCAATTTAAAAAATTTTTTTCAAAAAAATTCTTAAGGCCTAACCACATTCAAAGGAAGAATTTTACACTCTAAACACTATAATGATTATAAAGGTTTTGAAAATAAACGTGTAATGTTGGTTGGTATAGGAAATTCTTCGTTGGATATAGCTGTGGAGTTGGCTGGGATTGCTAAGAATGTTTGTAGTTTTATTATGTGGGTGGGGCATTCAAGTGCTGGGTATTGAGCATTTTGTGACCTATCTCGAATCATGGCTCCGGCTCCAGGTATTTCAAAACCTTAGCTCAGACAACTAACTTCCGGGCCCAGCAATTATTAAGTCTTTAAAGCAATTTTTTATCAAGGTTGTAATATCTACACGTAGAGGTACATGGCTATTTAATAGAATAACTCAAAAAGGATTACCCTATGATGTGGTTTATCAAAGTCGTTTTTATGATTGGTTAATGAGAACAGTTCCTTGGAGTATTGCAAATGATTTTCATGAATGGAGGATGCAACAGAAAACGTAAAAATATTTTTATAGAAAATTATTATACTAGCTTATAGTGTCCAAAGGGCTAACTAATTAATCAGACCAATCGGGGTAGGGTTTTCAAACTTTTCTTCGAATCGGGATTCAGATAACCGTCCCAATTTTATATATAGTATGTTGATTAGGATGGGAAGGAACGGATAACCGATTACGAAAAATGTCCGGATATTCCGAAATTCTCGGTTCAGATATTATTTAGATCCGAATCCGATACCGTGGATTTTCCAGGACGTGCCAACTCTAGGTTTAGGATTTAAATTGTTTCATATTTTAAAATTTAAGTGATCACGATTTATATGGCCTACGACCTCCACATCGTTTTTTCCAACAACACCCAGCTGTTAACGATGCCCTAACAAATTTATTAGCCAGTGGCCGCGTCAAAATTACAATTTGAGAAATTCAAAATAAATATAAAAATTAAATTTTTAAACAATTTTAGGACGATATAAATTATATTAATGAATATTGTGTTTATACAAAGGATGGGCGTTGTTATGAAATGGATGTGATCATTTTGTGTACTGGATATTCTTTTGGATTTCCTTTTATTAAACCGCCTGGACTTATAACTGTGACGGTAGGAAGAAGGAATATTAAAATGAAATATAGTGAAACCCCTGAAACCCTCTATATAGCGAATCTCTTCATAAGCGACCATCCTTTTTCCTTTGTCCGTTCGTGAGATTGAGGGAATTTGCTGGTCTCTGTATAGTGAACATCATTTAAACGGCCTAACAAAAGATCTATTATAAAGGAATAAACCCTCTATATAATGGACCTCTTTCCATAAGCGACCGACCCTTGCATTTTTGCCCGTTCATGAAATAGAGAGTTTGACTTGTTATAATAAATACATTTTTTAATAGGAAGACAATCAAGTTGATCTTTATAAACTCATCCTACCACCCTCACCAGCAGCAAAAGGCTTAGCTGTTATTGGATTAGTACAGCCAAGTAATTCTAGCAGTAATTCCTTTGAGAAAATAAAATTTCAGTTGGAAGTGTTTCTCCTATAGCAGAAATGCAAGCTCGTTGGGTAACCTCAATCCTTGCTAAAGGGCTTAATTCTTTACCGGGTGAAACGAAAATGAGAGAGGAAATAGCCTATAGACGTGAGAGAATGCGCAGACAATATTTTGAGTCAGCTAAACATACAATACAGGTGAATACCTATAATATTTTCCATAGAAATATGAACCTGAAATCAGAACTTGAATTAAATCAGAATTATGCATTATTATATCATTTATAATAAGCGGAATTATTAATAAACTTGGAACAAATCAGAATTTTAATATAATTAAACTTTAAATAAACCAGAATTATGCAACATAAATAAACATTAAATCAGAATTATTAATACATATAAATAAACCTTAGATAAATCAGAATTATTAATTAATAATCTTGAAATAAATCAGAATTATGAATCATTATAAAAATAAACTTGAAATCAGAATTTATTCAAAATCAGAACTTGAATAAAACTTAAAAATCAGAATTTAATCAGAATATAATTAAAGGTTCAATATTTGCCTTACATGGACGAATTAGCAGAACAAATTGGTTGTAGTCCACCAAATATTAAAAAGGCTAGGAATTAATTAAAATTTAACCAAAAAAATTTTCTTAAAGATTTTATGGAAAGAACCCAGCTTTGCTCTACGTCTACTATTTGGTCCAAATGTTCCCTACATTTATCGACTACAAGGGCCGAATCTGTGGGCAGGTGCGCGTAAAGCTATTGAGGGTGTTCCCTATCGTGTTAAGACACCTTTAAAGCAGAGGTTCCAAATAATTAAAAAGTATGGCCAAAATATATTTTTTAATTAAAAAATATTTTTAGTAAAAATACAAAGAAAGGAATTGCAGACAATCTTTTTGATTATTCTTTAACTAAATGTTTGGCACTCTATTTTACTATAATTTTTGGTGTGGGAGCTTGGCTATTTGGAAACCAAACATTTTCTTTCATTCTTCATAGTGTTGCGATTATTTTTGTAGCATTTATGGGTTATATTTTTTATTTTGATATTTCTTGGCTGTAATTCTGATTTTGTTTTATTTAAATTCTAATTTTGTAAATTCTGATTTTTATTTAATAGTTAAGTTTATTTGCTAATAATAATTCAGATATGTATGTATATTTATATTCTGATTATAAATAATTCTGATTTAAAGTTTATTTATATTAATTCTGATTCAAAGTTTATTTATATTAATTCTGATTTCAAGTTTATTCAATTAATTCTGTTTTAAGTTTTTTTTATTTAATAATTCTGATTTAAAATTATTCTGATTTATTTAAGGTTTATTTATATAATAATTCTGATCAAAGTTTATTTAATATATAATTCTGATTCCAAGTTTTTAATTAATGATTGTGATCTATTTCAAGTTTATTTGATTCTGATTTTTTATTTAATTATGATATTTAATTCTGATTTAAAGTTTATTTAATAATTCTAAAAATATAATTTTGATTTTTAAACAAATAAGTATAACGAATCAAATTAGGAGCTTTTTGTTAAATAATTCAAATGCTTCCTTTGTAGAAACGGAAAATAACTTTGACTGTTCTGATAATAATAAATGTTCAACATCTTCTGCTAACATTAATTTAATATTTTTTAGCATTTTTGTTCTTTTCTCCAAATCCACGTTTACCAAATTTAAATTATTGTAAGTATTGTCCTCCAACAAATTTAATAATTTTGTAAGTGCCAAATTAAGAATATTTTCTTCCTTTATTTTATGTTGTTTTTCATTGTTATCTCCAACCAATCTTTTCAAAAAATTAATTATTTGTTTTATATGAGATTTATTTAAATTTTCTTCTTTTTGGTCTTTCATTAGCTCATTTAATGTCTGATTTATTTCTACTTTAATTAATGATTCTATTGTAGATAAATATATATTCCATAGGTTAGCAGGTGATGGGAGATCTTAATAAATTATTTGTGATTTAAAGTTTAATTAATAGGTAATTCTGATTTATTTAAAGTTTATTTATTGTAATAATTCTGATTATAATTATTCTGATATATTTAATAATTCTGAAAATTCTAATATAATTCTGATTTATTTAAGGTTTAATAATTCTGATTTGTTTAAAGTTTAATTATGCATTAATTCTGATTTCAAGTTTATTTATAATTGATAATTCTGATTTATTTAACGTTTATATTAATTCTGATTATAATTCTGATTTAAAGTATAATTATAATTAACCAGTTAATTTCTGTAAAAGATTCCCCAATCCTTTACGTTCTTCAAATTGTTCACATATTTCAACTGTAACATTCAAATAACTTAAAATTAAAGTTTTTAATAATTCATTATTATTTTCAAATAATATTAATTCTGTAGATATTTGAATAATTAATTGTTGACATAATAAACTATCCAATAATTCATCCAAACCCATAGACAGCTTCCCCCCATTTTTATTATTTTCGAGTAAAAATAAATAGGCAAATTTTCCAGGGAAATTTGGACTAATTGAACTATTTTCTTCTTGATTTTTTGAAGAAATTTGGTTTTGGAATTGAAATAACTGAAAAATTTAATTTAAAAAATTTTTTCCGGTCAATTACTTGATTGGCCAGCTGTCTAACTTTATTAACACTTTCCTCCACCTCTTCAGGAGTAAGTCCAAGGCGATAAGAGACACGCATATCACCCTCATTCGAATTTATATTAAATTTAGAAATTAGGATTCTAACAGGAAAGAGTGAATAACAACTAAAAAATAATTTTAATTTAAGTAAAAATTGATAATTTTTATTACCTAGCTAACCAAATATTTGTAGCAAGAATTTCTTCAATAGAAACGATAACATTAGAATTTCTTTTGCTCTTTAAATTTTTTAAATAAACAAAAAGTTTTTGTAAAATAGCACAACCAGTTAAAGATAGAGCCTTTAAATATTTTATTTCTTTTAAATATTTAATGAAAATTTTTCTAGTCTCGAGGCCTAACCACAACCTCAAGACTTGAGGCAATTTTAAGGCCCCGAAGACAGATTTTGGGGTTAAGACCACTTTTGACCTTAAAAGTTGTTCTGACCTCAAGACTTGAGAGTTGTTCCTCTACTAATGGAAGAGGAGAGCCTTGGAGACTGGGAAAGGAGGGAGGGACGGATCACTGGGACGGGAAGGGGGGAGGGACGGATCTAAGAACGGGAAGGGAAGAGCCTTGAAGATTGGATCTAGGGACGGGAGAGGGGGAAGGGACGGATCACTGGGACAGTGACGGATCCTCTAGACACTCAAAATTAAGAGTTAGGGTCTCAGGAAAAATTTTAAACTAAATATTATTTACCCCTCCCTTTGCCACACATTTTACAGACAAATTAGCCAATCCTTTAAATAAACTAGAAAGCCATAAATCTTCATTTTTTGATAACAAATTTAATAATAAATTGTTGATAAAAGGGTGTGAACATATTAGTATCCCCAAGGATTGTTTGATTGCTCTTGTTGAATTGTTTGTTAGGGAAAAAGAAATACAACGTTCAAATTTGGATAAAATAATAGATATAATACAAAATGGCGCAAAGGTTAAACCTGAAATTAAAACAAATTTTAAAGAAAATTAATAATAGCAGCCCCCTCAAGGTATAAATCCCCTCCTGCCTTTAAACACACGCCCACGTTTACAGCTACATATGTCCCTAATAAAAAAAGGAGGGAAGGGTGCTACGGAAAATTTTTCGAAAAGGTGACTAAAGGAGGATAGACTAAGTTTCCCCTCGAATTTAACACCATATATAACACCTACCAATTTCATTAGAAATACGCTCAAGAAAATCGGCTATATTCTCTGCTAATATAACACATAAATCAGAATTAGCAAATAAAAATAAATTTTCATTTGAAATTTTAGGAAGTATAGAAGATATTAGCATTTCCAAAATATTTAATAAATTGTATGACAATATTTGATCTATTGGGGGTTTTTCAAACCATGGCGGTTTTTGTTTTAATAAATCTAAAATGAAAAAAAATTTATTGTTCAACTAAAATTATTATATTGTATAGTCATTCCGGAAAAGAATAACTTTCCGGAACCCTTCTAAGCATAGAATAACAGAAATAATTTCCGGAAAAGGTTTATTCAATATGCAATAGTAACAATAGAAAATATGTATAAGATTTCAGGAAAATATAATAATTTCCGGAATGTTATATTCTTTCCGGAAAAGGTTTATTTTATATAAAAGCTAGACATAGGAAAAATTCCGGAAAATATAATAATTTCCGAAATATGATATTCTTTCCGGAATGTTGTATTCTTTCAGGAAAAATAACTTCCGGAAAAACTTTTAAACTAAGAATAAATAGAATAATTTCCGGAAAAAGCTTATTTTATTTGAAAGATAGTGACATAGGAAAAATTCCGGAGAATATAGTCTATACAGAAATATTTCCGGAAAAGATTTATTATAAATGGAGGCAACCCCTTTTTGCAATATTTTTAAACCGATTTTCTTAATTAAACTTTAAATTACCAAATTCAATTGTTCTATCATTAATTTTCTCCAACAATTTCCCTTTATCTAACCAATTTTTTAAAATTAATTTACAACCACAAACATCAACATTTTCTTCTTTTAAATTAATTTCTTCACTTAAATCAGGCAATAAATTTAAATAATTATCTTTATTCTTATTTTTGTTTAACAAAAACTGATTGAACATTTCCCATTTTTCTTTTAATTTATTTTTTATTTGAAAATTAAATCCTCTAGGAAATGTTGAGGAAATTACTGAAGAATTTAATAAATATTCAAATAATATTTTTTCAGAATTTTCTAACAATAGAGTGTATTGTTGTTTTTCGTTTTCTTTTATTTGTTTTTGTTGTTCTGAAAAATATTTAAATAAAAATTATATCTTATTTATTTTTGTATTTTTTAATAATTTGTATTTTTTAATGATTTGTATTTTTTAATATAGGGAGAGTTATTATTCTTTCCGGAAGTATATAACTTTCCGGAAAACTTTCAGGGAGATTAAAGAAATAAAAGAAACAAAGGAAATATATTTTCCGGAAAGTTTATAGTTATATTTTAGAATTATTGTTACTTCCGGAAATATGTATATAACTTTCCAGAAAATTATAAACATGGAATAACCAAAGAAAAATTTCCGGAAAAAGTTTATTTAATTCAAGTTGCAGTAGTAGTATAGGTAATAATCTCCGGAATTATTTCCGGAAAAGATAAGATAACTCTCTAGACACTATTTAATCCCTTTCTCTAACCTTTCCAAGCAAAACTTCCATTAACTTCCAAAGCAAAAAGTAACAAATCACAATATTCATTAAACATTAACAAAAATAATGTGGGCTTTTTTGTATGATTGAACAAAAATTTATTACAAATCTCAATAATTATAGAGGTTAAAGCTGGTAGTGGTGGTGTAGGTATTGATATATCCTCTTCTTTTAATGATATTGTTGTTGATATTGGAGATAAGGATATGTCCATATTGTGTTGACGTTGAGTGAGTAACTAAAAGAAATCAAGAGGATTATATTATCAAGATTATGTATTATAGAATCCAAACACCCCCCCCCCACTTCCATTAATCATGGTACGCGTATCGAGTAACGATAGAACCTTCGAGCAATGATAGAAACATAGTATAGCTCAAATAGTCTCTTATATCGAGAGGATTATATTATCCTGACTATGTGTAATGGAGAGTTATGGGTCATGTAAAATCTTTGGATACCCAAAACCGAACCGAAGAACCTTGGCAAAAATTATAGGTTCTTCGCTTCGACTCGGAGCCTATAAATCTATTAGAGATCGGGATGGGAGATCAATCATAGAGAGACCATATTTATTATTTACCTTCAAGGAAGCAAATAATTCTGTCCACCCAGTCCCAATCAAATTGAAATTATTCTGCTCCACAAAATTCAAAAAAATATTTCCAATTTGAATACAAGTTTCTAAAGTACAATTTCTTTCTTCTTTTTCCTCTTGAAGAATAAAAGTAAAAATGGAAAATAAAAAAGAATTCCATCCATTTAAAGAATTTTCTAATTCTGATGGAAACAATAAATTATTTAATATTTCTTGAATAACATCTATTGCCCTACGATTTATTTCTGTTGGAATTGTTTTTGTTGGAGAGTTTGTGCTACACTAAATTTGATTTAAGGACTTTTAAGTATTTAAAATCAAAAACATGAAACACGTCTAAGGGTTGATCTTTTACCTAGGCTAGGTTTTATCTAAAGGTATCTGGATCTTAACTAACGGTATTGTTCAGTAGAATTCCGACTTTCCTAAATTCGAGTCACTTGATAAATCGGTATCTTTATTGGTTACAATTTTCCGTAACAATTTTAGTTCAAAATCAGGCCTGTCCGTAACAGCTCTGACCAGTGCTGGGTATTAGGTGGTTATGGCTCGGCTCCAACTCCTATTCCGGGCATTTCAAAATCATATCTAGTTTCCGGATTAATACCCTAGCAATGGTCTCGATATGATAATTTTATTTTTCCAGCTATTATAAAATCCATTTATTTAAACTTAACTAACCAAAATAAAATGTTTTTTAATAGTTAACCAAATACACAATTTTTGTAAAAATGTTTGGTTATTATTACAGCTAACTTGACATATTTTTTGTAAAAATAAAGCTGTAGTTTCTGTCTGAACTGTTGATGAATAAAGCAAATTGTTTTCATTTGCAGTACAAATTTCAGAAAGGAATCCATAGGGAGAATTTTTGAAGCAGAAATAAACAGACTTAATTTAAATAAAAATTTTGTTAAGTATTTAAATTTTGAAAATCTTCAAGAATAGAAAAGGACACGGGAAGGATGCCCTGTAGGACTTGGTTGACATAAACGGAATCCGATCGGCAGAATCCTGAGGTTAAATCTTTTCTTGACCCTCAAACGAAAGTCCATTTCATTTCACTTATGTAAGGGAGAGGATGATAGAGGAAAGACTCGGTTTCGGTTGGAAACTGAGTTAGCCAGACCCCTAGGACTGAGTTAGCCAGACCCCTATAGAAGCAAAAGGCCAGACCCCCTCAAGCAAAAGGCCAGTTCATTCCACTTATGTAAGTGAGAGTATGATAGAGGAACTCAGGTTCCTAGCGTTTCGGTTGGAAACTCAGTTAACCAGGCCTCTAGGACTTGGTTAGATAGAGAATAAACTTAGTGTGTTAATTGAAGACTTTCTTCTGTAAAGATGTTTGGCTATTCCTTAGAAAGGACAAGGACAGTTTCTAGCTGGATTTATGTATCTCTCGTATAGTGCCAAATAGGAAAAAATTTTTAACTTAAAAAAATCATTTTAAGTTTAATAAAGGCATACTTGTCAATCAATCCAAGAAATTGATCCATAATTTTAACAATTTCTGAATTATTAAATTCTTTTCCAATTTTTGAATTAATTAATTGTCCAAGAGGTGAATTACTTCCTTGAGGTGTTGTTGAGTCATTTGGGAGAGGGGGAGGGGGCTCGTAAATTGATTCAATTGTTGATTTTGCTAATTTAAAATGTAGACGTTCAAGTTCCCAAATAAATTGAATACATCGAAAATATAAAAAATTTTTAGGCCATATTTAGAGGCCCCAATTCTCGATTTTTGTTCAGGTACCGAATTTATTTTGAGGACAATAATAAAGTTGGACTAAGGCACATCTGGGTTGAGGAACCTTCCACAATGGTTCTATTTAGAAATACCAGACAATTCATCCCACCAAAAATGACATTTCATCCCATATTTTCCCCAACTCCAAGATTCAAAATTTTTTTTATATTTTTAACTAGAAAGCGGACTGGGAGGTTAGTAAAAGAATATATGAGATATCCGAAAAATATCGAACTCGATAACCGAGATTCTCGTTCGAGTTCTCGTTTCGATTCCGATCTCTAGATTTATTCAATTCCAGAATTGCTGGGACCTTCAAAAAGTTTCAGATGGATACAGGGAGACAATCATGTGTTTAACGATAAATTCAAAAAAATAAATATTCACCTAACAACATGCTTAGCAACATTCGGAACAATTTTTAAAGCTTGAATCGAATTCTCAACAATTCCCTGCATTGCCATTAATTCTGGTCTATTAATAAAGCGTCTTACACATTTAATATCCTGTCCTCCTATAATATTTTTATTTGAGGAATTTGTCTTCTGGGTCAATTCTCTCAAGTCTTCCAACACACAAACACGTTCAGATATTTGTTCAAATACCCAATTTAATTCTAGAATCATTCCTTTAAATTAAAAAAATTTTTTTTTGATTTCTCCAACGTTCCCTCTAAAATTTACCCAATTTAATGGCCAAAGGAATAAAAGAATTTAGTGCTTCCACCGTTGAAATTCTTACATCTTCTCCTATTGCTAATCCTGTTACTTCACCTTTACCTACTGGAAACTGATTTAATATTCGTTGGATTGAACTCCAACAAGAACGTAAACGAAGACGCAGCCAACGGGAAACTAACAACTTTAGAAAATAATTTCTTTATTAGTAAATAATGGAATCGATCCTCACTTTTAAAAATACGCCCAAGAAGCTGGACAAATCATAACTTATAATCAGAGGGTTCTTAAATTGGTGGTATCGCTTAAACCTTAAATAGACAATATAGCTTAGGAGACTCCCACTATCCGGTAGCTGAACAATTTTTAAAAATGCCGCATTTTCTTAAAAAACTCAAATTATATTTCGACCTGTACTAGATGGGGTAAGTAATCAAGGTATAGCAATTAGGTATTCGAATTTTGAAATTTGAATGCTTTGTATGGAATCAGAGAGCCAAAGGTTATACAGTATCTTAAATTGAGGTTTGCCTTTTAGGGTATATAAAAATGAGGTCCAATTACTTAACTAACATTATTTATTTTCTGTTTATTATCTTCTGATTTTTGTTTAATTGGATCTTCTTCAAATAAATTTAATATTGAATTAATTTTTATTTTATTTCCATTAAAATTTTTGTTTTGCTTTAATTTATTTATAATTTGTCTAATTAATTGTTGATTAATTGAAGAATTTGTTTGGACAAATTCTAAGATTGGAAAATGTTGAATTTTAGTTGAGCTATTTATTTCTTGAGTTAAATTCTGTAAAAAAAAATAAATTCTCAGAATTTTAAAGAAAGAAGGAAGATCCAGCTAGCTAACATTTAGAATACTTATTAGGTGAAGTGTAGGATGTAGTATTAAAAGCAGGCTGGCCCTTTAAAAATATCCAAAAGGGGGTAAAAAGGTCTCAAAAAGGGGGTAAAAATAGGGTGAAATCGGTCAAAAGGCGGCAAATGCCTCCCAAATGAAGCAAAAGAACCACGCTGATTAGGGAATGGTGAAGCATTTCCATGGTAGGTTCAGTCAGCAGCTTTACCGGTGACTAGCAAAGTGACTAGAAAGAACTGCCACGGGTGTTTGCTATCCCGGTGCTAAACTTTAATTTTCTCTCTTATTCTATATTAATTTTCAAAAATAATTTTTTTAAATTACCATTCTTGTTCTAATCCAATTTTCATCCTCAAACATTAAATTTAATTCATAAATCAAGGCAACCAAAAACATGTATTCCTGCATCTCACTCCTTGCGATATTGCAATCCTTATTTTCTTCCCTTTCATCCCTTTCAGTATCACTATCTTCTGGGGTTGAGGCTGGACTTGATCTTCTTGAATTTTCAAATTCTTCTTCCTTCTCAGCCTCAGAAAGATTTTCATGATTAATTTCAATAGCAAATTCCCTCAGTTTTGAGTCCAATTCCAAGTTAGACGAGCATTTTAACCACAAAAGGAATTCCTCAACAAATTTGGTTACAAAATTGTTGTTAGTCTTGTAGTCTTCAAAATTGTCTTTTTTATTATCTAATTCTTCATTTTCATCTTTATTTTCTTCCTTTTGACTCAGCAAGGAATAAAAACTTGAAGGAAACGTTATAGATTCTATTTGATTCATTGCAGAAAACTGTTTGGAAAAAAATTTTTTATAAAAATATTTGACTAGATATATTCCAAATTTTATTTTTGGTCTAATTAAATCAAAAAATAGCCAAAAACTACCAATAGGCATCGAACCCGGCTCACCCAATAAGCACAAGTCGAGCGTACTACCTACTACACTACAAGTGTCGAGTTATCCCTTCCCTATAAATAATCGAACCTCGCTTGTGGGTCACCCATGGGTCTGGTAATTTGTATCTTATAATGAGAGTACCTTAAATAGAGGGTGGCTTATAGTGAGAGGTCTATTAAATAGAGGGTGGCTTATATTGAGAGGTCTCTTAAATAGAGGGTTGCTTATATTGGGAGGTCTCTTGAATAGAAGGTGTCGCTTAGGCGCTCCACCTCCCCCATGGCCAACCAATCAAAAACTCTATTGGGGGTATCTTATAGTGATATCCAACTATAAATTCCTACCAAAACAGCAATTGTTCTCAGAACCTCAATAGCCATTTTATCATTACTAGAACAACAACAACATTCTTCCAAACACTCAATTAAGTATAGCCAAAAAGAGTCTTTTCCAGAAGCACAGTTTAACTGTAAAAATTCCCCAAAAGAATTCTGATCAGTACAGCGACGTTTAATTAATCGGATAGCTTCTGTTCTTCGAGATATTGGAGGGACGAGTAATGCAGATCTCCACAATTCTTCAGTTAAAACGAAAATTTCATTTGGGTCAGAATTAACAGAGGAAAGGGCCAGAGGAGTGAATAGGCGTAAAAGTTGCTCAACAACACTAAAAGATATTTGATAAGTGATAAAAACTTCAAAAAGTTTTACTGATTAAATGATCGAGCACTCTCTGCCCCTTCCAACGCAATTTTTGCCGTAGGCGAAATAATTGCTGAAGAAGGAGAATTTGTGTTGGAAGTGTCTGAACTAAGTTGTTTCCGTCCTACACGTGAAAGTAGAGAGGTTTTTGGAATAGGTGTAGGATCAGAACATTCCGGATTTGGAGAGCTTTTTCTTCCACTTGCGTGAAGATAACAAATTATTGCCGGTAACAATTCGCCTCTGTAAAATAAAAATTTTTACTGGATCTACAATCAAAACCTCACTCATAGATACACCCAATAATGGATACACTTCTATTTAAAATACGGTTTTTATAAAATGTGGTAGGGCATTGGGTAGGAAAGCTGACTAAGTGATACCCTCTAGTTAAGAGACACTCATTAAAAGCCACTCTCTGTTCAAGGCACCCTTGTTATAAACCACCTTCTATTCAAGAACCTCTCATTAGGTCTCAGTATAGGTCCTCTCATTATGAGCAACCTTCTATTTAATGTAGCTCACATTATAAGGTATCCTTTATTTAAGATACTCCACTATAAGCCACCCTCTATATAAGATACCCCCATTAAAAGATATTGATTTCAGAACTCATGGGTGTATTCATAAAAGTGATTCTAACTTGTTTTTACTTTATAGAATTAAAAAGCGGTCTGTGCCTCTCCAAGATTGAAGGTTCCAAAGCACTCAAAATACTAATTAAAGCATCCAATGGAAGCAGCAGAGGTTGCTGTTTTTGTACCAAATCATTCTCCTTATTATTATTCCCTAAAGCTCTTTCCACAGTTGATCTTCCAACCATTCTAGCTACCAATTCACTAATTAATGCTGTTATATCCATTCGAGCGCCAATATGTTCTGTCTGTTCATCTTCTTCAAATGAAACTGCTAGACGATTTTGAACGTAAGAATTGAGGAATTGAGTGAGTGCTGCTCGAGCTGCTGGCCGCACACTGTTGGCATGTGCGGCAGCTACAGAAAAGACTTGTTCGCATATCTGAAAGGAGTTTTTTCTTGATATGGATTACTCAGACAGTTTAATAAGGGCCTCATATCCTAGCAAACAAATCAAAGTGGAGTGATTGAGTAGTTGCATAAGAGAGCTCTCAAGATCATGCCCCAGTGATCTATTGCTATTTTCTGAAATGTCGAGGCTGCTTTGGTAGAAAACCAATGAGAACTAGAGTGAGGTCAAGGAAAGTCACTAGGTCTGATAGGGGGCCTGTCTCAAAAAATAGAAAAGTTCAACGGTTCCAGGGTAGTTCCGACTTATTAATGGTTCCACGGTTTCGGTTACCAGCTCCAAAACGCTTCTCAGACCCATAAAAACACTGAAATACTATCTCGATTGTTTCCCACATTTTTTCCTTAATTTATTTTCCTCACCTCAATACCATTCAACACATCCTTCAAGCCTATTGATATCTCTGTTGACGAGAGTAATTGAACTAAAACTGTTAATGCTTGACATTGGTTAGAAGGCGATTCATGCCATTGAGGTATATCGAAAAGAAGTGAGATTAGCTGTTCGGCGCGACTCTGCCCCTCCGGTGTATGATCTTCTGAGCCAAAATCGGCATTATCTCGAAGAATAATCTTTAAAAGAGAAGAAATGAGGAGGACTAAATTTTAAGTTTTTTACTTGTATTCCTTCAAAAGAAATCGCCGCTAATTTTGATCGTTTTGAAGCTAATGCAATGCTGAAACAATTAATGCAGTTTTGACGTTTTTCAAACTGATGGCATTGTGAAGGTGGTTCTTTTAAATTTTCTGAAGAAAAATTAAATGAAAATTTCATGTTTGTTACCAAAGTTTGAACTTTTCAAGGTTCCAGGCACGGCATCAGGGTTTTTTCGCTTAGAATGACTTAGAGCGGGTTTTCTGGGTTAAAACCCTGAAATCCCAAAAGATTCGAATTTTATCTTAATATTCGGTTTCGGAGCTCCGACTCGGGTCCGAACTATATTTATGTTAATAGTGATCGGCAACTTCATTTTCCAGGCCCGGAAAACCGGATTTTAGATTTCACACTCATGCCGGTGAAAAATCTGGCCGGATTTTTCCGGATTAATCCGGTCCGGTTTTAGTCCGAAAATCTCAAAAAACCCGAGGGTTTGGGATAAAGACTCTGAAAACCGGCCAGAGTCCAGTTTTGTAAAAGGGCGATTTATAGTATTCATTTAACCAAAACCGATCCGGAGGTGAATCGTCCTGTTTTTGGCTACACTCTAAATTCGGCTGCTTTGAATAGTCCCTTCCACTGATTTTTTAGAAATTTTGCTACCAGCTGATTTTTTTTATTTTTCTTTTTTAATTAAACAAACTTTTTGCTTGTTGAATAGCTTCTAAAAGGCCGTTTATCGATTTCAAGTCAGGCTTAAACAAATTTTTCAGAAAAAATTTTTAAAAATTTAAATCTTCAACCTGATTTCCAAGTTTATTTAGCACCGTTTCCATTTAATAAAAATTTTAGAATTATTAGACTACGAGTAATTTATTTATTTTAAAGCTTTTAGTTGGGTAAATGGCACACTTTCACTTAAAAATATTTGTAACATTGGCACGTCCTTTTCTTTTTTAGAAAAAGTGAAAGGATAGAGAAAGAGATGTTGAGGGATATGGAGAGGGGATATTGCCTTTGGGTTTTCCTTTTTAGAAATTGTTTTTTCTTTTTAACGAGAAAGTGGGGATATATACACGTTGTTATTTTTAATGAGAAAGGCGTGTTAGGCCTAGGAAAACCCCAGGAATGTCAAAAAAATGCCTGGGCCTGAACTTTGGGTACAGCAAAAATCCAGGCCTTTGTCCAGACCTGGTGAAAGTGCGAAATAAGCCCGGCCCTGGTCCAGACCCAGCTGGATCTTTATT